GCATGACAGAACCAGCATTTCCTTCTCCCTGACATTAATTTGGGCTAACACCACACTACTCTTAATTAATCCTCTCTGTACATCCCAGATCAGAACAAACAAATGGATCCTTTAACTCTTTGTGGTTTTGTTCCAGGTATTTGATATTCTTCTGTCCCATGAACCTCTTCTACAAGTGTGTTAGCTTTCTGCCTTTAAAGCTCATCTTTGTGGCCATGAAGGAAGTGGTCAGAGTTCGCAAAATTGCAGCTGGGGTCCACCACGCTCATCACCGTTACCACCACGGGTGGTTCATTATGATGGCTACTGGATGGGTGAAAGGTGAAACATGAGATATTCTCAATGCAGCAGGGAGGGACGGGAGAATCTGGGGGTGAAGCTGAAGGTGACCACATCACTGAGTGCTGACCAGCAGGCTGGTTAGTGGATGTGGTCAGCTGGCTTCAATCAATCAAGTTCTCTAGAACACAGGTATTTATTTGGACTGGCAGAATGGTTGTCAGTTGAGTCATCAGCTGACTTTAAAGGAGGCCTGAAGAATTGAAGGCACTATCAAAGATGGGTGTAGGATTCAGGAATTCTTTATTCTTTCTCCTGTGTTCTACTGTCTCTGGCCTCACCTGTCTTTTCACGGGGGTTCCATCAGTGTTGAAACAGCTCGGTTTTCATTTAGCTTTTGTTTGGAGCAAGCATTTGAGCATCACTAAATGGAACAGAGGTGAATTCCCTTTCCCTGCATCGGGAAGCACTTTATAGAAGATCTAGGAAGTGTTTGTCCTGCTCTGTTGTTCTAGGCCAACTTCTTTTACTGTTTCACAGGTTCTGGTGTCGCCTTGATGTCTAACTTTGAGCAACTGCTGCGTGGGGTCTGGAAGCCAGAAACAAATGAAATTCTTCATATGTCCTTGTAAGTAGGTAGCCTGTAAATTCTCTGTCAGACTAAAAATGGAATTTAAAGAACCATTCAAGACTCAATTGAAATGATGCAAACTTTCTAAAAAACTTCTTTATTTATTTTCCAGCCCTACAAAGGCTAGTCTGTACGGCACAATCCTCTTCACTCTGCAACAAACCCACTGGCTCCCTATCTCTGAAGCCAACCTCATCTTCTTTTTCACCATGTTCATGATAGTTTGCAAGGTGAGTTTACAGCAGCTTTGCTGCTAACAAACCTACAGAGCCAGGGAAAGGGTACGGAGTTAAACACGGGGTGTTCACCTTCCCAAGCCACCACTGAAGGCATTGGCTGTACACATCAGGGAAGATCTGCTCAGGAAATTATAGGCTAAATTCTCCATCATACAGGCACTGTGGTAGAAGATGATGTAGCCTTGAGTTGGGTAGCAATAGGGATTTTTATCTAGGGTAAGTGGAATTCTCCTTGCTAGTTAGTATTTCATAGCTGGTGTATGTGATCTTTTAACTTATTCACTGTTGTGTGGCAGGTTTTCATGACGGCAACTCACTCTCACGCCTCACCTTTTGCTCCAGTGGAAAACTTCATCTGCCCAGTTTTCTTTGGCTGTGTTTCCAGTGGACACACTAGTCATCATCATCATGATCAGCATGGGGCCTCCCATGAGGCTTCCCATCCTCCGCCTCCTCCTGCCAAGTCAAAAGAGGAGCTAAATGAAGGCACAAGGAAACGGAAAGCAAAAAAAGCTGAATAAAAAAGCAACCACACAGTAAACAGGCCAAGAAAATTCTTCCAGAGCTGAGTCTCAAAGCCACCCGTGACCTCCTTTATCCTCCAGTCCTCTCTCAGACTCCAGAGGAGAGGTGGAAGCCAGGACACTGCCAGGCGGGTCCCTGAATTTCATTTGTGCTCTCTGTGCTGCTGCTTGCTTCTTGGTCTCTGTCTCTCTATTCTGATCATATTTTCAGGGATTTGTAGGTTTGTGCCAGGATGAGAAGTGGGTGCCAGTTCCCAAGCTCTTAGCAATTATGATGCAGCATTTTCAATTGATGTAAAATCTTTGACTGTGTTTATTTGTGAATGGAGGTAACGGTTTGTGCTTCTGCAACTCTTAAGTTCCTCTGAGTTTTCATTGACCTTTTTGATGTCTACCAAAACAACAAACTGTTTAGACACAATCCATGTGGAAATTGGATTTTGTACTCAAGGAAAGTAAATGGTCTCGTATGAGCCTGATCTAATTTCTGCTAGCTCCCACATGTGCCATAGCTCCAGTTAATGTGACATTTTATATGCAAGAAGGACATCGACTCCGGTGTGTCCTGGCCAAACTCTGTTTCTCTCGCCTAAGTTCCCTCTGATTCTTAATGGATAGAACATTGTCAGTTTCTTACCTAAATCTGTGTTTGCAAGAGCTTTGAAGCTGTGAATGCTCCGAGCTGGTACTGTACTGGTACTGTTATGATTCTAAACTGTTGTGTAGCACTGCTGCACGTTGTTAATAATAGTGTGTCCCACCTCAAACCTGATCCTCTGTAATTAGGGAAGAAAGCATGGCTCTGGTTTGTTTGTAATCCTGTGGGATACAAGAAGAGTGTGTGAGTGTAAATAAGTATTTATTACTATTTATTTATAATTACCAGGGCACCTAATTAATGGACCTGGAACTGGCTTTTTTTAAAAGTTTGCATCTTTAGGTAGAGAATTGGATACTTCTAAGTATGGTCCTAAGCCCCCAGCTACGTGCTGGTTTGTGCTTGAAGCAGTGACTTTGGTGTGCTGAAGGACAGCCCCAACGCTCTCGCTGGATGCAGGGAGGAACGTTTCCTGTAGTCTTAAATTCAGATAGAAAGGCTGAAGAAGAGGATTTCACACCAGCTGATTAAAACTACTGTAAAAGACTGAGAAAAGCACAGCAGCTGAAGGTACTGATTATCTGTTGTTGGTGTCTTTCAGCCAAATTACTGGTCTGTGAAAGCAGCTCGTGCCCAATGAGTGGAAAAACAAATCTGAAATGCCTTGCATGGCTCAGGGAGGAGTCTGTCAGTTCCTTGATGTTCTGCTTAGTGAATACTGGCTTATAAAGTAGCTTTAATGTTCTTAGAACTGATTTTATTCTTAAAAGTGTCATCTTAGGCATTGTACCCAAAAGACCAGAATTTGTTCTGAGGTTTTTCTTAATCACCAAGGGCTGGGATCACTGCAGTGAAAATGGCACACGTGGGGATGTAGCACTGGGCCTTCAGTTAAGCAGCACGTTGCCATCCCTAGCAATAAAGTTTGCTGCTGTCATCTTGCAACAGGGAATATAAATAGGAGGATTTAAGAAAAGCTTTTTTTGTGTGTATGTCCCTGTTCAAAATTTAAATTGATGATTAATTAAAAAAAAATAAAATTGAAACATTTATTGTATGCAACCAGATGAAAGCCAGTACAAAAGGTCAAATGATTTGTGGGTTTGAGTTTTGACAGTGCCTTAATTTTGTGAGTTTCCCTCCCCTTCAGTAGAAAACAGGAATTCGACCTGACAATTCAACTGTCTGGTTTTGCAGATACTGGTCTACTGTAATCTGATGTATCACTAGCATGCATGAGACTATAAATGTTTTATGAGATGTCTGATTCAAGGGGAATTTTGTTTTATAAAAGCCATCAACAAATAAAAATTGTGAAGTGACTCTGATTGTCCGCTGGCACTTGAGGAAATACGCGTGTTTCTTTCACTCCTGCAAGTCTCAGAAGCCACATGCTCCTTGATCTACTTAAATTCTCCTTGGCCTGATGACAAAATGATTCTAACTGGAGAGAGAGATCAGACTTTGACATGTCTACAAGTATGGCTGAGTATGGCTGAGCATGTTACAAATGGAAATAACATGGTAAAAGGTCCATTGCTTTTGTTGTATTTGTAGTGTTGTCGTCCAAGCAGATTTTCTGAGATATCAGGGAGAGAAATAAGGAAACCAAGCTCCTTTGGTGTTTATACCAGTTGGTTCTGTCTTTCCTGTTGTCACTATAAGAGGAAGGAGGAATTCACCTGGGACAGGTAAATACACACACACATATATAACCACACACACACAATTCTAGCATATTTATATGGAGTTTCAGTGTTTCTATTGAAAACTGAAAAAAAAAAAAAAATCAAAGTGCTTTGAACAAGTATGAATATTTATTTAGCATGGTACTGTTAGCTGCTGGTTTCTAAGTGCCAGAGTCCTTGCTCTTCAAAGTCTTTTGGATTAAGACAAATCATAGCTGCTAACCGAGAACACATAGGAGAAATATTGCAAGAGATGGTAAAATTAAAGCTCTGTACATCTCCGAAGTACCTTATCTGGGATGGGATTGGTATTGAGAAGACAACTGCCATAAGGAAGAGTCACAAGTTTCATTTAGTGAAGCCTTTCATAGTGAGAGATACAGAACCTTTCTTGAATCGCTGGTAGTCTGTGGTGCAGTTCCAGACAGGCATCCTTCATCCCAAGAAGCAAAGGTGGATCTTTCAAAAGCAGCGTGTTTTAACCATCGCTGCAGGAACACAGGGTTCTACAGGGCTGCTTCTACACTTCCAGGAAGCCCTGATTTACCTGTACATGCACTTCTTCCTTAAGCCTCTGTTCCAACCAGAAAGAAAATGGCAGCTGGGCATTTCCTAGAGGGATGGAGTAACTCACTTCCACGGCACAGAGATGGGAGTGATGAGGAAAAGGTGACGCAGTTGATCTATCTGGCTCACTGAATGAGGACCTGGAAAAGGCTCTTCATTTTCCAAAGGGTTCCACTTGTCTCCCCCCCAAGCTTGAACTCTTTAAAAAGTTTTATTAATAGTCCTTAAAGTATCAGAGCAGTTGAGATGCTGAGTTGCATTGGAGCGTAGGATTTAAAGTCTCTGTATGACCCAACCTATTAACAAAAAACTCCAGAAAAAATCACTAGAACGGTTAAACCACATGAAACATCCTCCTCTACCGTGATACCCACTTCGGTGTTAGGAACAAATTTAGCTCAGGATGTGGATGGAACAATAAACAAGAGCAGGCTGGTGAGAGGAGGTATTTCAAGTGCTTTGAAAAACCCTACGATGTCTCAAGAGTCCCAGATGGGGACTGTGCTGGCTGTGCAGAACGTTCCCGGCTCCAAACTCCGCTGCAGCACAAAGTAGGAGAGGAGCATGCCAGGGCTTAGACTTCCACAGGACAGACGTCATTCCCTCCAAAGATGTCCTGATCTGATAACTCCTGATACTAACCCTAGTGAGATGGAGCTAAATTTAGCAAGAGGTTTAATCCTCAAAGAGGCCCTGGTTGCCTGATGGAAAAAGCAAAGTGTTTCAGTTGCTGCTCTCAGCATTTCTTGTTGATGGGCAGGTTTCCCTTTTCTGTTACACAGAGCAAGCCAAACCCAGTGTCTACAGCTTTTCCAACATTGCAGATCAGCTCCAGACAGGGAAAGCTCTCCAGCCCTTACTGTGTTT